CAGTTCAAGTACAGGAGAGTGACCGGAGTATTACCCGGGGTGAATGCCATCGCAAAGTGTACTGAGAAACAGACACATACACTACTACTCAGTGCAGAACATGATGAGCGCATCCCACACGCCTACTATTATTCACGAATATGAAGTTGAGAGACAATAAAACATCTCCAATGTGCTCAAGTTGAACTTATACTCACCGACCACACTTTCACGAATAGCAGTTCACCAAATCAACACACCTGAAAACGGTTTCTCGGACTGTTTACTTCCCCTTCATAAACTTTCGAAAAAATTTCACTCAAGACGCTTGTTTGCCATCAGACTTGTGTAAGTGTATTACTGTTTTCTGTGCGTTGCTATTCATTTTTGCTTTACATCGATTGACAGACTGACCGACTTTATCTCAATATTATACAGAAAAATGTTTCACTGCAACACTGAGATATTGTCATGACAACAGAAAATGAGACTCTTTGAAAATAAATATTCCTGTATCCATTATTCACAGAATGTTAAATACTCTGAGAATTAAATTTCATAATTCGTTGTAACGGCGAATGGCTGATAGTTTGAAGACTGGCCAAACATTTACACGAGATTCGCGTCATTTTAGACTGGTACAGAAAATTATGTGTGAAAAAATGCACACGATAACATTCTGTCAAGTAAACAATGTTAGGTATAAAACAGCTTACAATGGATATACATCAGTTTGCCTTGACCAAGATCCGACGAGTGGTGAACGAAATGAGAGATCTTGTTGCGCCGACATTTTCATAATATTTGCAACAATTTAGATTCTCAGTGTAGATACTTGGTGCGTTGTTGACAAGTGCGTGATCGAATACGCTACTCTTGCACTTACCAATAAACTGAGTGAACAACTTCACAATATACAGTGGTTAACAAGCACTAGAGATTTGGAAGTTAAATGAATATCTTCTGCTCCACTCAAATTCCTCTTTAATTCCCATCTCAATTTTTATGATATTGATTACTGTGATATAATTGAAAACCAACATGAGAAATGTGTAGTCTTTATACCAAGAAGTAAGACAACGAATTCTCTACATATCGGACCCTGAATATGTTTACTGTAACATTTGAAAATGTGTCCTTGAACATCAGCAGAAAGGAATAAGAAATCAGCTAGCTACGCAAGCATCGTCAGTAGTTAATTCATAATCACAATCAACTCGTTGAAATAGTTCGTGGAAGATGCAACATTATCTGTACTAAACCGACACAATCAACTAACTACAAATGTCCAAACACTTCATTTTATGATATCACCTATGTAGCAATGGAACATTAATGTTTATATGGACATATTACGGCCATTCCGTCAGTGACTGCCTGTGTCACTGCGTTAGTATTGGGATCCCATCTTTGACAGTGGACTAATATTATTGGGTGATGTTTCAGTGGATGTTCTCCGTATGCAATCTCAGGGAAATCAGCTTCGTCTTCTGATGGAGATAAAATATCAACTAACAAATTTCTTTTCAGACACTGGATACATTTCTCCCTCTTCATGATTCTAAATGGAGTCAGAGAGATAATTTCAGGAGAATAAGATGGTACCATCATTGATTTTGTCAGCTTCTCATTTTCTGTTTACAGCCTAAAGAAACTACTAGACTTATGTATAGAGCAACTTTAACATGCTTACAAACTTTTCATATATAGCTTGTAATTATTAGATTTGTTTTTACGAGTTGATAAGGAATTAATATTAGTTAGAGAACCAATGAAATGTTACATGATGTCAGTTGACAGGATGCTCCAAACTGAATGAACAGTGTTCAGTAAATCAAACTTATCTAGTTGTTACCCAGAGATTTCAAGTTCGAACAAAATTATTGTATGCATGCAATGATGAAGGAGTTGTGTGATAAAGACAAGAGGTGAGTAAGCTATTGGGTAACTAATAAAATGAGTAATAACATAGTGAGTTCATAATAAAAGTCTCAGAATTACACCATATCAAAGGAGGATGAGGTTAAAGCTAAAGACTAGGTAATCAAGTGAATGAGAGAATATTGATATCCCGTTTTACGTGTTTGATACAGATTGCTTCACCAAACTGGAGGAGAATTGAGCTGTTTTGTCTGCTTATAATTTGAAAGAGGTGGATATTATGAAAACGCATTCTCGGAGACCTATCATCTAACACAAATAATTCCCACCTGGGCCTGCTACTGTCCTCAATCGCCATAGAGCCTAGATATCACTTTCGATGTATAACTTTTGACCTAGTAGATGAGCTCTGCATTAATCTAACGTACACATCATCTGTAAACATTCATTGTCGACCGCTGAATACTGTTCTTCCCTATATGTTAGCGGATGACTGACATATTAGACAACTCAGTCAATCCTGGGCTCGTGTTCTATGTTCACCTGCACTCATAAATACAGTGAAATGTTTTCCAGGTACAGGCAGTTTGAACTTAATTCTCTGGAAGTCTGAATGCTGTTAATTACAGTCGAATATACTCTGCGAGTCTTCTGGCCAGAAAAATATGGAGTGACCTTGTAGTCTGTATTACCACGAAAGTTTGAAGCCAATGGAAATCAGGGTGTGCACTTGTTAATTCTAATCTTACTGTCCACTGAAATTCTTCTATTTGTGAAATATAATATTTGTTGTCGTCACAATAAAGGCCAGTTATGCGGCGGATACATTTTTAACTTAGAATAACAGATTATGTAACATTTTATATTCGTCTACTAATCTTATAATTATGTACCCGTTTCCAAAATTCTACACACCTTATGCATTATTCTACATACGACATTAATTATTTTGCCACTTGACATTAAACTATGATTATTATCACAAATATTTTAATTGCATGTCATACTATTATTATTTCATGTATTCACATCTTTGACCTAATTCCCTCACTGGATATAATTTTTATAAAAAACCATATACATACGATTGTACAGTTTCATAATAAATTCGTTGAAAAGAGTCTCTTCGCTGAATATTGTGTTCTTAATAACACATTAGTTATGGGGTCAATATATATGGAAAAGTTCAATTAAACAAAGTGACAAAAAAAGAATTAAGAAATACGCTATAGCCATTCATAATCTTATGCCCCCTTGTGTATTCAAAAACAGTTTGTTATTACTCTTAACCTACCTTGGTAATCCTTATTTGATTGGATTACCAAACGTTTGTGTTAATTATTCTTAATTCTTTTTTTGTCACTTCGTTTAATTTAACTTTTCCATATATATTGACTTGACAAGTAAATGTGTGATCAGATTGTTCGAAATATATAGTGCAAATACATCACATTTTTCAGATAATCTCCGTCTTCCAATAGTTATGGGGTGTCAAAATAAATAGTCGTATTTGTGTGACAAAAGTGATAGGCTGAATTCGATTACAAAATATTGTAAAACGGGAGACATTGGTGATTAATCATAATAGATTCGCAGAGTGTGGGGTAGGAAAATTGACAAGTCAGTTCAAGGTTATAAAAGGTGTCAGGTGAGTGGCTAGTACAAAGTGGTCTGTGTTGCAGTCATACTATCTCCTGTTTAACACAGACCACTTTGTACTAGCCACTCACCTGACACCTTTTATAACCTTGAACTGACTTGTCAATTTTCCTACCCCACACTCTGCAAATCTATTATGATTAATCACCAATGTCTCCCGTTTTACAATATTTTGTAATCGAATTCAGCCTAGCACGTTTCTCACACAAATACGACTATTTATTTTGACAACTCATAACTAATCTGTTATTCTACGTTAAAAATGTATCCTCCGCATAACTGGCCTTTATTGTAACGACAACAAATATTATATTTTATATTTGTAAGAACCTGAAGAGAAATTATTGAAAAGAATATTCTTCGTTCAGATTGACTTTTAATTCATAATATGGGAATTTTCCACACTATCAAATCTTCTATTTGTGTTCAACTTTATACTACTTGCCATTAGTAAGTAGTCGAAACTAAATTTTCTTACTTCTTAAAGACGGATTAGTTTGCGATCGAGGTTTAACCCACCTAATGTATTTGGGCACTTTTTGATGCATGGTAATTAATTTCTTATAGTTGAACATTACTTGCTCTATATTCTTTATTTCTGTACTCGTTACTGTTGAACACTGTTTATTCGCATCCCTTTATTCCGTGTCTGGCATTAACAAGCTGTTTAAATAACACGTGGATCGTCTTTGACACGGCTCTACTGTTTTTGGATTATTGACTCAGACTGACTGTGATTTTCGACACAGACACATCACAATCGAGGTTTGTATATTGCATTTCATATTTTATGTTTAATATTTTACCGTAGTTTGGACATATCCTGTTTATTCGAATTTAAGTCAACACACAAAGTGGAGTTGTAATCATTGTTGGATTCCTGGTTGTCTATACATCAGTCAACTTGATATGTGTGTTCACTCACAATACTTCAATCAATGATTTCACCACATATGTCACCATGTATTGATTTGATTGTCTGATCCACTTGTTATTCGGATAAGCAGTGGTGAATGAACTGTCAAACAGTGTGCGGGGGGAAGAAACTGTTCACTTCAACTTTTCAAATTTACAAATCACTTCGTAGTACTTTTACGTTTATTCATCCTGCTTATATTGAATGAATTTATAGAAGTCATCGGGTAATCGATGATGTCAAAGTATGCTATCGTCAAACATATTTTAATTTGCTCAGTAGATAACAGGGTGAATGTAGCAAAATGAACACTCAGCTTCCCTGAAACTGTTTGCAACTCAGCCTAGTGTTTCTTTGTTGATTATTTGCATGATAACTTATGCTGATTTTATTACACTCACTAACCATTCATTTCAACAATTTCCAAGAAGTAGACGTGTGGAAACTACTGGTAACTTAGGTAGAATTCGACTATGTCAGAACAACGAAAGCATGTGACTAGCTGAGGATAGTGTGACTTGTTTGTGAATGCAAGACAGTATTTAACCAGAAATAGAATTGATTCTGTGTGAACATTTTGTATTTGACTAAAGTAAGATATTTACTCTGGATAATTACCTGATCGACGAAAACATCACAACTGACATAAAATGTGTCCAGACAGAATTTACTCTTACGGAGATAGGACGACATAAAACCAGAGGATTTAAATGAGATTAAATAATATAAACTTTTTACAATTAAGAAATTGAAACTGACAACAGACTGATGGGCGGTACGGAGGCAAATCGAGAATCAATAATGCCTTCTGACTATAGTTGCTGTCGTGTCATTCTAAGATGATGATTTGAAATCTGTTGAAGAACCAATACAAATCAGAGATTCCTTATTCGAGTCGTGTCAGGTGTCGGTGTACATGTAGCTACCAGGGATGTGTACCACTCAAGAGTCTCGAACTAGAATGAAACGCCTTTTCGGTTCTCAGTGCTGAGTATTATTATCATTATTATTGATACTATTTGCCACCGTTTGAACGGTAATCATGCATATCTTACTGGTTAATTTCACACACAGTATCATTCTATTCAGTTCTAATTATTCATTCCTCTAAGCTTGTATAACGGTTCCTACACGAGACAACCTATTATCTTCTCTTCTACTTGCATTAACTGCATATTTTGTAAACACTAATATTACTATAAAAACCAACACCATCTTTTCAACCGAACCCATTCCACACTATCAGTTATATCGCTATTATTCATAAGGTTATGTATCCGCATTCGCTGCCTAGTTGATGGAAATGTTTACAGATTTGAAACTGTTCGAACCGAAGGCAAAGTTGTTGAAAAAACAATTGTTCACTTAAATATTTCTTATTTGAAGTATTCAAAGAGAATTTCGAAATTACGCAAATCAAATATCTTTACACACATCTCAAATCCATTATGCTAAGAGAACTCAGTTGCGCATATATCGTATATATTTAGTTATTCATAAAGCACGTTTACATTTGCCATCATTCGCAAACATCACTTAATAATATACTGACAACAAACAAAATCACAGTGATCTCCAATCAGAAATTTCGTTGTTACGAGCGTGTTAATATAAGAGTATGCACATTTAGACAGAAAGACATCGTCAACGTTTTCGCATCTCCTTCTGATATTCATTGCAATGAATTTGATCATATTTCTCATCTGTCTATGTCATGTGAATTCTGAGATTATCAAGATTCCATTGCACCCAGTGACTGGAATCAGTTCAATGCTGAATCCATATCGGAAACTGTTCAGGGTATTACAACGAAGTTGGGTGAATTTATTGAATGGCGCAGATACACCAACATCAGAACTGCTATATAATTATGGCAATGTAAGTTGACTTTCAGTAATGAAGCGAATGTTTGTTGATGTGAGTGATATCTGAATCTGCAGTACCAGATAACCAATGTAAGTCTAAGTATTGAAATATTTTTTGCTGAATGCAGAATCAGGGTACCTAAAATGATTTCGTTGTTACTGTTTGAGTAAGAAAATAAGCTGTTGTGATTTTCTCCCCTGACTATATCACCAGTAGGTGTTAATTGGAGGAGAATGTTTACGTATTACTGTCTCTCATTGTTAGCGGTTCAATCAATTTTCATCAGGCCTACAAACTGGATATTAATGTGACACGATAGTCTACAGTACACCGTGGTTTAGATGTCACATGTAAATAAATAATACCGCAACACCGTGACACAAAATAAAAGTATTTAATGACGGATTGGTACTCTTGCACACTGCTTTACTTCTATTCTTTCTTTGATCAGATTTCATAAACTGAATTGTTAAATCTTCCAGGCTGTATTGCCAATATTTCGATGACTTTCACTTTAATAGTATTCCACACATGGATACAATAATGAAATATTGGTAGAAGTCTTTTAAAACCACTTATTATTGTCATTAATGTAGACTAGTTCATCATGACGCTGAAATGACAGGCGATTTTCCAAATCTCGCGTTCATTATATCTTTTTCAGATTCAGTACTATGGAGAATTACTAGTGGGAACGCCACCACAAAAGTTACGTGTACTCTTCGATACCGGATCAACCGAAACTTGGCTCCCCTCAAGAAAATGTTGGTTTCTCGACATTCCATGTTGGTTCATTCGATTCTACGACAGTTCAAAATCATCCACCTACCAGTCAAATGGTACCAAATTTAATATAAGTTACCTGATTGGCAGTTACTCTGGATTTTGGAGTATGGATACAATGCAGGTATTGTGGTTTTACGACTTGAAGTGACATTGGTTTCAGATAAACTCCTTAGTTATTCGCAATCAGGCATTTGCTGAAGTGACAAATGTGTTTTCCGATGATTTCTTTGGTAGTAAGTATGATGGAATCATTGGTATGTCAAGAAGAAATGTGTCAAGATATGGGAACACTCCATTCTTCCCGAATATACTCTCTCAGTCAAAGGATATGGATCCAGTATTTTCTTTCTATTTGAATCGGTAGGTTCTAAATTACATCATGGTAGTATTACACTTGCAATCAACGGCTGATAGTTACTAGATTTATGAGTAGTTCTCTGCCATTCATATCGATCTGGTGTGACTAATGTGACTCGACATTTAGTTATTCGTAATGCAGATCCACTTATAAGGAAATAGGTTTAATCATCTTTATATGAATACATAAGATGAATCTCCACCGTAAGATAAAATTGGGATCCATCAAACAGGAAGTAGTTTTAGACCATATTCGAATAAGAGTATGGAGAAAGACTTGACAAATGCATTTTTCAGGGTGTATGTGACTTGCTCCATTTGAGCAAGATAATTATGGACACTCATTGAATTACCTCAATACAGTAATCTAGCTCCACACATCCCTCAATCAATTATTAGCTCCAAAGTTGATACATAGCTGAGCGAAAATTATTCCTGCGTGAAATTAGATGCATTGCTACCCTCTCGAGATGCTTTCTCAAGAAACAATACACACAGTGATTTACAGAAGTGCTCACATATTTTAGGGCCAAAAAACAAATCCAATACATTCATCAGTTTCGCCACAATCGATGATAGTGTTTCTTCCATTTGTACAGTGTGATCATTCTCAATGGACTTTTCGAAACTATCTCCTCATCTGCTGTTACAGACATTGAATTACCAGCGTATTCGCGACGATTGTTTGTCATGAGTAGTGTCTTCTAGTGCACACTGAGCTGAAAGTGTGCACAATTATGACATCATATTTGGAAAATAATAGTGCCTTATAGTACTGTCTTAACTTACATCGTTTTCACTTGCAACTTGAATGGCACTGAAATGTGAAGTGTTGGAGGCAACTATTGAATTTTGTGATTTCATGCAAATTCGCGCGTCATGTTGATCATGATCACCACTCAAATTTATCTTGGACGAAGGCTAAATTGAACTCACTTCTAACCAAGTAAGCTAAGCACACTTTTCGTGTTTTGTATTTTGTAGAAAGAACGGTCATGTCGGTGGAGAGATGGTGATTGGTGGTGTCAACCCTGAATATTTTATTGGAGATTTCGAAAACTTGCCTGTCGTTTCTCATAACCGTTGGTCTGTTATAATCAAAAGGTAGTCAATTGATGCTTGCATGACTTCATAGGCAAACATATCATTTTTTCAAGTGGACATTAAGACCATAGGAAGTGTGGAGTGGTTGTCACAGTTATGTCTTCTAATCAAAGTATATTTAATACACGCAACAATTCCCACTTTTTCCAGTAATAAAAGTCATACACTCAAGTAAAAGTCTATTGGATGAGATATGACTTGATAATTCCAGATGACAAATTAGTGGACAGTTATTCTGCATCCCTAATTTATTATAGTTGGTTTGAACCTGAAATACTCTCTTCTAGTACAAATAAAGCGGTCATTTGACCACCATCACCTCAACACATGAAAACCGATTCCCCTTCTACCAAACCACATCACATATGCTGACTATCCATTTTTACGTGCGATAAACACACAGATACTGGCGTGACTACTTACTGGCCAACTTTCACTGAGTTATCGAAGAAAGTGTCATCTGTTTGAGTTTATTCTGTTGACAGCCTGAGTGGTTTATCTGGAAACGAATGCCATTTGAAATGCTGATAGTGTGTAGTGAAGTTGCCTTGAGCAATCTCAAGTGGAAACTTTCATGGTGTGTGTAATTTCAGCATGGTTTGTATGTGTTCACGAGTATTCCAGTGAACAAAGTCATTAGAATGATTTAGTGAATGTTGTTACTGGCTGAAGTTGCAAGAAATTCTGATGAGAGCTGAAAGTTAATAAACAGACAGGAATTTGTGTATTCGTGTGGAGATGACTGAGGAGAACTAAGTATGCCCATTGTGTCTGATTATTAGGATGAGTGTTTTTGTGATTGAATTAATTTATATTAATACACTCTTCACTGCATAGACTGGTTAATGTTTCAGTTGTATTTGTTTTACCATGTTTAGCATGAAGATAGGTGGAGCACAGTTTTGCCTTGGAACATGCATTGGTATTATAGATACTGGAACGTCTTTGATACTGGGACATAGCAGAGCGGTGGATGCGATGAATGATCATCTTGGTGCCAAATGGAGTGGTGATGGGGGTTATTCACTCGACTGTAATTACATTCACATGCTCCCTGCAATTGAGTTTGTCTTCAGGAGGAAGACCTATGTACTTAGCCCGAAGGATTACGTGCTTAAGGTGAGTATAATCACTGAGTTGAACTTTCTGATTCTGTTGTGAGCAGCACACTGAGAAAACGTCTTCACCAATTTCACTAGTTTTCATTCAACAGACAGGCAAGTATTGTGAAATCCATGCAACCAGTGTGGATTGATTTTAGTCACTTATCTGTAGAAGTGAACGGCTTTCTGTGTGAAATGTGAGCTTCTAATATGATTTGTACGGCGTTCTTTCCATCCAATCGGTTAACTCTTATATCACGAATGGAAGGAATCGCCAGACAAATTAAAATTCATCTGTGGAGTCACCAGCACCAACTTATTAAATAAGTTTCAGATTATCACAGTTACTCACCACTTTCCTTTCTGTGACTTCTCTCTAGAAAATGCTGTCAGCCTCAAATAATTCTGAACAACTTCATCCGCTTCCATTACTTTACATAAGTAACCGTCAAATTTTATCAGCATATTCGAGTCAACTCCATGGGAACGCACACTATTTGTGTTCTGGTCAGTTAAAGTTGGCTGTAGAAGTAGGCGAATTCGACATCCACTAAGATTGTTCTCAATTTTCTTTACAGGACAGGAAGTCTGAAAGTGACTAAAATTCACTGTATTTTTGATTTTAGGAGGAAAACTGGTTGTATACAGACTGTACATCACCTTTTGCCAGCAATGACAAATTACCCTCTGGATATTGGGTTCTCGGCGATGTATTCATGAGCAAGTTTTATACTGTATTCGATTTCGGCGAGTCACAGATAAGATTAGCTGATGTTGACGATGACTAAACCCCACTGTACTGGATCACATGAATCATTGAAAATAAACAAATTTTTGCAAAGTAATCTACTACCTTCTTATTTGAACAAGTGATTTTATTTCTAGGTGTTCTACAAACTCCACAAATGTAGTGAGCACAGTTCTGAGTTTAGAGCAGCATACATGGGTTTGGAATTACCAAGAGAAAATCAGTCTCAATTAAAAGTCAGGCATCTTCATTATTGATTTGAGCAAAAATTAATCGAGACTGATGAAAAATATAACTGGTAGTTTTACTTGTCCCAAATCAGTGCATAATGATTGGCATTTTCAGCATCAGTTGTTTCTGTACTCAAAATTGATATCCGCTAAAATTGGTTAAATTCATTCTTACGCACTACGTTTCCCATAATTCCAGTGTAAATGACTATTCGGCATATAAGAAGTAGTTATTGACATTCAGGAGACATACTTGTTCGTGATGGACCAGCATTGGCTAGTGTGGGCGCCGTTGATGATGTGGTGAACTTAGCATGGCTTCTCTTCAGGTTGTACATGTAAGTCAGCCATGTCAGTTCAGATAATACATGGTTTAGAGGTAATTGATTGGCGGTCAGGATCTCGTTGTCCGAGGACTGTTGTGAGGCATCACTTCTTCATGTGTCCTTAATAGATGCATGTTTCGAGGATAAAAGAGGAGGATCATAGTTTGTTGAGGATACGACCAATCGGTAGCCGCTAGTTAGTAGAGGTAGCACATCACTTGACTGGGATTACCTGTACTATAATGATGCACCAATAATCTATCCCCCACTGTCATGTTGATTTTCATTGGTTATAGTTGCATACCATCAAAAATCTATTACCAAGCATAATACATAATAGTTACTCAGTAAGATGTTTATTTGGTGAAATGCAGGATCCCATCAAATCAATTTGCAATATATATCCTAGTGGTGGACATTTCATAAGCCTCACTAATCTTTGTGTTCCTTACACTTGGACAAATTTAACGCTGCTCTGTAATTCATGTATTCCGAAAATCTTAAGAACACTATGAACTGCACTGAGTGCAATGCGAATGCGCGACTGAAACCGAATATTCCGGAGAGAATGCAAGAAGAGATCAATAATAGTGATAATAGTATTAATAGTACTGTTGTGAGTGTTTCTGGAGTTCACTGGCAATTAATTGCATCTACAGTCTGCGCAGATGGAATCATATCGTATTTCATCCAGAGATATTAGCTGAGCTGCACGCCTAATGGATAACATTGTCCGATAGCACATGCTGGGATTGTCATCAACGTATTGTGTCCAATATCTAAACATGCAGATTTCGTTTCTTCAATAAACTGATATCTGCTACTAGTGAGTTGTGTCAGCTGAGACAAATATTTCTGCATGATCCATCACACCAGAAGAGACTGGTAAATAACTTTTTGAACTGAAGTTGGTCATGTCAAAATATATCAAGTTATATTTGAGACGACATCAGGTTTCCTTAGTTCAATGGCGAGAAATATGGGACTGAAACTGGATACTGTTGAGCCAGGTATCTAGGTGGTTCTGTGTCCTCTCAAAGCGGGTTCGCGAAAGCTACATAGCATGGTTGTTTGTTGATGATGCTGGTTTAGTCGTGAGTGTTAAAATCGGGCACCACGTCAGTATCTGTCACTATATCTCGGCTGACAGATCATCTGGAGTTAAAAGCATATGAACAGTAGGTCTATAGCGAGTAGCATAAATCCAACTTCTAGACACTATCGAATCCCCAACTAATCGTATGGAAAGGTGGGAGCTGTGTGTTAAGGAGGGGCTTGTTCAGCTTCCGTATATTTCATCGGATTTCTTCCATTTCTTCCCTTTTAGCTGTTGCCTCATTTTCTTCAACCTTCATTCACAAAACGACATTTCATTCTCTTTCTTTACATCTATTGAACAAACCCGTTTGTTGGAAATAATTACAGATTATGCAGTTTATGCTCTAGCCAACCAATACTCGATACGCGAAATAATCACAAACTCAACAATTCTACCTCTTTCATGTATATTTTCCAGTTGGAATGTTCATGTGGTGCCAGTTACACTGCGTGCAATACCAAGCAACTTAATCATCGAATTTCAAAACCCCACTAGTCACGGTTGGTGATAGAGGCAAATAAATAGATAGAAATTCCTAGATTGGCTACATGCGTTAATAGAGGACATAAAATTGTGACCAACACTACTCATAGAGTAGCTCGTCACATTTCATCTGTTTATTTGTCCCATGTTCTAATAGTTCGGACATTTCTTACATTAAAGACAAACCAAATTCACCTGGATAATTCAAATCTGCGACCTCAACAGAAATTTGCACAGCCATTTACTTTGCTATATCCGTCAACATGATATGTATGGAGTCTTACTGATGATCTTTTCATCCGCTCTTCTAACTTTGAATTGCCAATATTATTACTTTTATTAATACCGTCTAAGCTAATTCAACTTACCTTCTTTTATATCTTCGCTCACTTGCGTAGTCATTTATGTCCAAAATGAAATTGGCATTTAATAGGCTGAAATAAATTTCAGCGTTGGGTACATGATATTCATTGTTATTCGCATTTCCCAATGAATGAAAAACAAAATCATACTGTTTTGACTGACGTTTGGCTATTGAATGTTATCAGCTTTATCAAAAAATTACTAAACCATAATTCATAAGATCTCGGATTATTATGCAGTAACCGAATCATCTTTCTTCAGCATAAGGTAATTCTTAAGTTGTAATAGGATGGAGTCATTTATATCTGCACATAAACCTAGCCAAATGCAGATCACTTGACCCTAATAAGATTAGAAATCTAATAAATGGCTCAGCTACATCACTGAGTGCAGTTACACACAGCCACAAAATGGGACGGGATTAGACGACAGACCTAAATCGAGTGTCAAAGGTTGGTTGCATAGATTGAAAGCTCGAGGTCTGTTTACCGAAGCGGCTGAGAATACGTGCACTGGGAATGGTCCAACACCTGTCTCAGACATCTTCAAAATTCTATTACTCCTACAACAAATGAGGAGGAAGGAAGAGAACTGTATAAATCAAGATTCGAGCAACAAATCACTTTGAGGAAGTCATCAATAAATTGTACTGTTTCAATGTTTGATATATTCAATAAATTATTAATTGTTGATTAGTGCATTCATACCTGGAATTAGAATATCTTAGAATTCGATTAGACCACCAGTGATAAAACTCGACGTTCTAGAAATACAGTCGTGAAATCATTCTTGTTAGTCGATCTGGTGCGATATCACGAAGCAGCTTTCTGGATATTGGAAACGCTAAATCCAACTTTTGTGTGTACTTCAACCGAAGAGTATTTCGAGTTGGATATCGAATGGTTTGCCCATGAAGACTTGAGCTTGAGAATATATGAAAAATTGTTAATTGTGGTGAAAGTTCTCGACTTATGTGTCAATGAAAAGGCTCCTCACAGTTTTTTCTTAGAACATCTATGCGTCCATATAAATCACAAATTATATAGCGAATTCAACACTGACCAGACCGTTGAGTGACAGAAAATGACAGGCAGTCAAGCGGAAGGTGAATGGGAAGCGACGAGTTGGATGTGTGTCTGAGTTTGACATGGAGGAGATCGTGTGAGAAGGAGATGGATGCTTTACTTCAATCATGGAGCCATCGAAAAGAGACTGCAGAACAACAGAGTGAAATGGAGATGTGCTTTGCTTAAGCCATTTTTTCCACTCTAAATCTACGGAAACTGTAATAATAATGTCATACTACATCTTTCTTATCACAAGAACTTTCTACACCCGCCACTGTTAATTTGACTGTGGAGATAAGATTACTTCAAATATACGATGGTGGAAAATTATATGTGCTGAGAGCTTCATGAGTGTCCAGAAATTAACCTCACTTCTTGAATTTTCTTCCCCTAAGTCCCACTCAACTAATTCGCATTCAGACACTACTAACTAAGAAGTGTTTTGATGACAGCATATTTTAATATGATTATTAACGTAGGATTATTCAGAGGAAAATGTTTTCATACTATAAATATTACCAGAGTATTTTACTGCGTAATACTCATACTTCGTAAAAGATCATTAAGCGGACTTGCGAGTGACAGAATCCCATGTGACACGATGGTGCTGATCTGCAGAAAAATCCAAATTCTAGCAAGGAATCTTCCTCCACCACTTTCGAGAAATACATGATTTCCGGTTGAAAGTCAATAAAACATATGCGTGAAATCATTTTGCATAATCAGGATGTGCTTGAATGATTTAAACAAAAGAAAGTGAGAAAATTTCATATATTATTTTGGAAGGAAATTAAGGTAGCCTATCGAATTAAGTTGGTGACCTGAAAAGATCTTATGTTATTAGTAGCTTTTGTGGGGTGTTGTATGTCACTACATAAATGTAAATGATAGGTTGGCAGTATTTCTACGCGTTGATGGTGAATTAGTTTATAACTTCATATTCGATAACTGATATATTTCCCTACTACATTGTATTGAATAAGCTGTTCTTATACATTCATAAACCACTGATAAGAAATAATATCTGTGAAAAGTCTGTGCATGGCGGAATAGACCAATTCATCATAATTTTATTTCAGTGGCTATCTACACAGAATACGATGTTTTTGATTTTACTGATATTTAGAGCAAAATGACTGTCAGTGATATTGTTTCTCCGATGAATTGGAAACAAGTCCAACAGTTGGTTGGATCACGAGCAGTACATTTGCTCAAAATATCAGCAAATTCTGAAGCTCGTCCTTGTGTAAATTTTGATAAGCATGTGTTTTAACTTTTTATCTCTTCTTAATGTACACGTACACGGCTGACATGCAGTTACCACAAACAAATTATTCACTGGTGACATGAATAAATGAGAACTTAGGAATTATACAGTAGTAAAAGAAATAAAACTGACACACTTTTGCTTCCTTTCTTGTCTGTTCATTACTGTGACCTCTAATTTAGCGAGCTCGTCAAACCTCATCATGGTTCACTGAGAAGAGGTTAGATAGTCTTTAT